TTGGGGGGGTCAGGTAGGTTTAAATAATTTTAAATATTTACTTAAGGATTTTTTGCTCTTTATTAGGTTAAGAAGATATAACTTCTGGCTGGTTGTTTTTTTTTTTTGTTTTGGGGCTCTTTTGGTTTTTTGCCTATGGAAGTTACATATTTTTGTGATTGAGCCACCAAACTCCCACTTTCTATGATAAAATGACAGGAAAACCCAATCTTATAATTCCTGGTACCTCTAGTTGTCCAGTTGACTTAGTAAAGGGAAAGAAGTTTGTGTGTTTGTGTGTTGGGTTTTGTTGTTGTTTTGTTTCTTTTTGTTTAATCTCTTATTTAACTTAATCCAGACTCATATTTTTTTGATTGGTATTGTAGTTTGGGGATGATCATTTTACACTACTAGAAGTTCTGAACCAAAATAAAAAAAAATTCTGAACCAATTGAAAAATGGACACAGATATACAATAGGATTTCAAATAATTAGGTTAGGGGTACCTGACTGGCTCAGTCAGTAGAGCATGTGATTTTTTTTTAGATTTTATTTATTTTTTTTGACAGACACAGCGAGAGAAGGAACACAAGCAGGGGGAGTGGGAGAGGGAGAACAGGCTTCCTGCAGAGCAGGGAGCCCGATGCGGGGCTGGATCCCAGGACCCTGGGATCATGACCTGAGCCAAAGGCAGATGCTTAACGACTGAGCCACCCAGGCGCCCCAGAGCATGTGATTCTTAATCTTGGGGTGTTGAGTTCTAGCCCCATGTTCATCATCAAGCCTACTTTAAAAAAAATAAAAATAAAATATTAGGTTAATTACTGGTAAAGTTGAACCCGAGAATATGTCTTGGATCCAAGGCCAAATGGATTTTCTAATTTCCCTTCATATCTAGACTTTGAAAGAGAGGGGTCTGCACTGGACTGGGGGATTCTCTGTTCTTGTTAGGGATGTGAGGCAGATGAGATTCAGATACCATGTGTTCATAGGTACCTTTGGCACTTTAAACCTGGACTAGAGAAACATGGGACTGGATAGTAAATTGTCACATAAATCAGTTGTCCCATCCTGGGGATGAACCTGTAACATCTTAGAAAGTTGGCGTACTTATTTTAAGGACTCAAAGGATCATGGAAAGAGGGAGAAGGTCGTTCCCTTAACAATTGGAAATAGGACACTATGATTTTATTTTATTTTATTTTTTTAGAGAGTGCGCATGAGCGGGGGGTGGGGTGCAGAGGGAGAGAAAGAATCTTACGCAGGCTCCATGCTGAGCATCCACTCAATCTCATGACCCTGATCTTGTGACTTGAGCCAAAATTAAGAGTCAGGTGCTTAACCACTCAGGCACCCGAGTCGCTTGGATTTTAATTGCATTTAGTAGTAGCTGGAGTTTGAAGATAGGAAGGGAAGTAAGAACTGTGTTGCCTGGCACAAAGGGACACACCATAAACATCTGTGGAATGAACACAGTCATGCCACTAACTCAAGGCTGGACACATTCCTCTTTGCATTTTCTTCTTGCAGGGTTTTTTGTTTGTTTGTTTCTTTAGCCCATCCTTCTCTTTGAAGAAAAAAAAATCCATTGTGTATTGTTAAGGCTTCATTCATGGGCGTGACTACTTAAACTGCTCTGACAAAGAGATATTCATTCCTATTTGTTGGGAACTCAATGAAGGGGAGGTAAACAAAGTAGAGACCTCACCAAGTCAGGGAAAAAATAACTACTTAGAAAAAGTGAATGTGTAGATCAGGACAAATTAAAATGTAGAAACATACTTTAGAAGGAAAGAGGCAGCACCTTAGGACAAGTTAGCAGTGGTAGTTTTCCAGTACTGCTTTAATTCATTATATTTTGAATATTCATATAAGGTGAGATAAACAACATTTATAAGAGGCCGAATTGATAGGAGTTTAAAATGCTGTTTGATATCAGACTATCTGAAAATGGAGAACCTAGGAATTTTGCCATTACCTTTGATCCAAAATTTAAAATTTCTTATATTTGCTTTTCATTAACAAGTATTTATTGAATCTGTATCATAAACAAGATACACTCATTACACACACACCCCCCCCCATGTCTAGTCCCTCTTTACTTTTTCTTCTATTATAGTTGTGGTCAAAGCCAGCCTCTGCCGTATGGAGTTTTTAGATACAGTTAAAATGATAGGAATTGCTCCCTTTCCCATGATTTTATTATATAAAATTGAGAGAATGGGAAAGGAGAGGGAACAGGGCTCTCTCCGAACACACAAATTCCTGTTAGCCATTTCATGCTATTTTTGGAATGATAATTGAATAGATTCTACTTACATTTAGAGTTAATAAGTCTTTTGTGATTTTCCAAGATCTTTTTTCTTCTTTAGTTACATCTTGACTACATCTATTAATTTCTTTTGCAGATAAAGTCCTAGATCAAAATTTTCTCCTCTCTGAAAATTGTGCTTTTATTTTTCTGATTAAAAACTATCTGCATTTTAGAAAATTAAAGTTAGAGCTAGAATGCCTTCAAAGATCACCTAATTTCAGTTAACCTCATTTTATTCTTTTTCCTTCCCAAGTTTATACATAAGGCATAAATGCTGCTACCATTAGAGGAAACACTTTTTATAATAGTAAAACTATAGCTTAGTGCACTTTACATTCTGGTTTTCCCTCAAGTTATACATTAACCTTGTTAAAATTTTTTTTTTTTTTTTTTTAAGATTTTATTTATTTAGGGGCACCTGGGTGGCTCAGATGGCTAAGCGTCTGCCTTTGGCTCAGGTCATGATCCCAGGGTCCTGGGATCGAGCCCCACATCGGGCTCCCTGCTCATGGGGGAGTCTGCTTCTCCCCCTCCCTGTGCTTCTCCCCCTGCTCATTCTCTCTCTCTCTCTCTGTCTCGAATGAATAAATAAAAATATCTTAAAAAAAAAAAAGATTTATTTATTTGACCGAGAGAGATACAGCAAGAGCGGGAACACAGCAGGGGGAGTGGGAGAGGGAGAAGCAGGCTCCCCGCTGAGCAGGGAGCCCCATGGCTCAGATCATGACCTGAGCCAAAGGCAGACACTTAACAACTGAGCCACCCAGGTGCCCCAACCTTGTTAAAATATTTCTTTCCATATTCCGAGATTGTAGAACTTTTTGACTTGTCCTTTCATATACTCTAGGGCATTTTTCTAAGAATTTAGGATTAATAAATTTAAAAGGATTTCTAATTTATAAATCTGTTTAAACTTTGTTATTTTAAAATATAACACAAATTCAGAAAACCATATAATACATAGTTTAATGAATTCTTGCAAGGCAACCCCTTAGTGACCACCATTCATATCAGGAGACTATAACTTGCTACTTCAGAAACTACCTGTCTCTTTCCAAACACAATCCTCTCTTGACCCACTCCCCCAGAGTAGCCATTGTTCTGAATTTTTATAGAATCGCTTCCTCACTTCTTTGTATGATTTTTATCATTCAAGGAATGAAACTGTAGTTCTGCCACTTTAATATGTGTCTTTTTACATTTCTCTTGATTTACAGTTTTCTTCCAACTCTTTACTCCCCCTTGTTAGGTTTGTTTGAAGAAACCACCAGATCATTTGCCCTATAGATGTGGATGTAGATCCACAGGCTGGATCTTGCTGATATCTTTTCCACAGTGTCATTTAGTAGATTTCTCTGTATGTCCCATAAATTGGTAATTGGATCTAGATGCTTTACTGGATTCAGTTTTGCTATTTTGGGCAAGACTACTTCATAGGTGGTACTGCTGCTTTAGCCACAAGTGCACAAGGCAAGATTACCTCTTTTCTTGATATTATCAGTCATTGATGGTTAATGCCTATATCCTTATTTTTCTTAAATATATATATATCATTATGAACTTACAGGTTCAAACATTTTTTATGTATTTTGATTCATTCTGGATATTTTCCCAGCTTTGGTGGAAGCTTCTTCAAGTTGGCCCTCAAGTCTTTTTGACACAAGCCTAGTAGTCTGATAAATTCTTGCTAACTGGTATGACAAGATAGGCACATCTTGTACATTTCCTGCCACAGAACTGGATTTAGTCATTTCTCCAAAAAGTCCTGATTTCCTTTGATAGGAAAGGGTATTTCAAAACCCAAATCTGAGTTTTTAGCTATATTAATTGCTATTGGATTGGCCATTGTTTCTAGGTTTTTTAGTTACTAGAGTTAGTACATATATGTGTAGATTTATGTCTGTGTGTTTTTAAGATTGAATTCCTTAATGAGATCATGCTGATACCTCCTATTCACATTCAAGGCTTCAGGGTAATTACGTAATCTCTTAACTTAAACCAGTATCTCCTTTATCTTGCTCTGAGAATTCTGTCTCTCACCAACAGATAGAATTTTTTTTTTAATATTTTGTTTATTTATTTGACAGAGAGACAGCGAGAGAGGAAACACAAGCAGGGGGAGTGGGAGAGGGAGAAGCAGGCTTCCTGCAGAGCAGGGAGCCTGATGTGGGGCTCGATCCCAGGACCCTGGGACCATGACCTGAGTGGAAGGCAGACGCTTAACGACGGAGCCACCCAGGCGCCCCAACAGATAGAATTAAAATATCATTTAACACTTTATTTTATCCCATATTACACACAAAATCTGGAGAAAACATTAGCATAATACCATACAATGTGGCTACTGAAAATTGTTTAAAGAACTTTTTGCATATGCTCACTCCTTTTTTTTTAAGCAGTTACACTGCATATCCATTATCAGCTTAAAGAGTTATTTGTACTCTTTTATTTAGTCTTAGTTCTACATTTAAATATGTATTTAATGCTTACCGTCAGTCTGTACATTATTGTCTCACCAACCATTTTTCTTGTTTGAAGCTCATTCTCCAGTAGATTCCTTAAAAAAGGAGTTGTAGGAGCAGTATCCATTCCCTCCATTTTTGTGTGTTGATGACCGTTTGCCCTTTTTATATTTGAAATTCATTAGCTAGATATGAAATCTTTGGCTCATATTTTCTTTCCTTGAGTGTCTTAAATATATTACTCCAGCTCTTTTCCTTCGGCGCGCCACTGAAGATCCTGGTGTCGCCATGGGCCGCCGCCCCGCCCGGTGTTACCGGTATTGTAAGAACAAGCCGTATCCAAAGTCTCGCTTCTGCAGAGGTGTCCCTGATGCCAAGATCCGCATCTTTGACCTGGGGCGGAAGAAGGCAAAAGTGGATGAGTTCCCACTATGTGGCCACATGGTGTCAGATGAATACGAGCAGCTCTCCTCTGAAGCCCTGGAGGCTGCCCGTATTTGTGCCAACAAGTACATGGTGAAAAGCTGTGGCAAAGATGGTTTTCACATCCGAGTGCGGCTCCATCCCTTCCATGTCATCCGTATCAACAAGATGTTGTCCTGTGCTGGAGCTGACAGGCTGCAGACAGGTATGCGGGGTGCCTTTGGAAAGCCCCAGGGCACAGTAGCCAGGGTCCACATTGGCCAAGTCATCATGTCCATCCGTACCAAGCTGCAGAACAAGGAGCATGTGATTGAGGCCCTACGCAGGGCCAAGTTCAAGTTCCCTGGCCTCCAGAAGATCCACATCTCCAAGAAGTGGGGCTTTACTAAGTTTAATGCGGATGAATTTGAAGACATGGTGGCTGAAAAGCGGCTTATCCCAGATGGCTGTGGGGTCAAATACATCCCTAATCGTGGCCCCTTGGACAAATGGAGGGCTCTGCACTCATGAGAACCTCAGCACTGCCCCCTCCCGACTCATGCCCACCAATAAAACCTACTTCCTGTCAAAAAAAAAAAGTTATTTCTCTTACATTCATTTGGTTTTTATCTGGATGTCCAATGGATGTTTTCTTTTCCTTTAAAGTTTAATCATTTATTTTTTTAAAAGATTTATTGATTTATTTTAGAGGGAGAATGAGCAAGTGAAGGGAGGGCAAAGGGAGAAAGAGAAGCAGACTTCTGCTAAGTTTGGAGCCCGATGCAGGGCACAATCCCAGGACCCCAAGATCATGGCCTGAGCTAAAATCACGAGTTGGCCACTTAACCAACTGAGCCACCCAGGCACCCCTAAAGTTCAGTACTTTATGAGAATATATCTTAATGTTGGTCATTTTGAGTTGATTTCCCCAGATAGGCGTGTGTTCTTTCAATATGGAATTTCACATACTTTAAAATGTCAGACAAATTCTTTTGGATTATGGTTTTTAGTATTCTGTTCTCTTGCTTTGGCTTTCTTTTTTTGTAGGAACTCCTGTTATACGTATGTTGGATGTTCTTTGCCTGTCTTTTCTATCTGTTGCCTTCTCTTGAATCCTTTTCCATCTCTCTTCATTTCTTCTTGTTCTATAAAAGTTTCTTTTCATTGTCTATTTCTCTTAAAGCATTATCTGTCATGTGTGTAGACTCTTGCGTTCTTTCTATCTTAGACTTCATTTTAGGATGATTTATGTCTGGTTCTTTTCTGTGTTCCATCACCTCATTTTTTAATGTTTCCTATTCTGATTTATGATGTTCTTTCATATCTTTTATCATTTTCTTAAATACTTTTAGAATTTGAAATATTAGATTATAACTTTCATCTTTTGCATGTGTGTACATGGTGGACACAATTTCTGGCAAGGTTGTACCATTAATAGAAATGTTATTCTGCTCCTTTCTTTTTTTAATAGTAACTTCATGTGGGATTTGGCTCAGTTCTTTTCTGTTGCCCATTTTTCTTTGGAATTGGTTTTTTTAACCATTTAGAAAGGGACCTTGATTTAAGATTTTCTAATTTTAGGTCTCTAGAGATCCCTCTTCTGTTGTTTTGGGAAACTGTTAAAAAATATGGCTGCTAATTTTCTGAGATTTCTTACCTTTGCTCCTCTTCCCTACTTATAAAATTCATCCTTTTGGGGCACCTGGGTGGCTCAGTCAGTTAAGCAGCTGCCTTCCACTTAGGTTCTGGGATTGAGCCCCACATCAGGCTCTCTGCTTAGCGGGAGCCTACTTCTCCTTCTCCCTCTACTGCTTGTGCTCTCTCACTTGCTCACTCTCTCAAATGAATAAGGAAAATCTTTAGAATAAATAAATAAAATTCATCCTTTTAAAGTGTACAAGTCAATGTTTCTTAGTATATTTACAGAGCTGAGCAATTATTTAGACTTTAGAGATTTTCATCACCCCCAAGAAATATCATACCCATTTTCCACTCCTTCCAGCCCCTGGCAACCACTAATTTTTCTATCTCTCGTTTTACCTGTGCCTCTACCATTTCATGCAAATATAATATGTGATCTTTGTGACTGGCTTAGCATAAGGTTTCTGAAGTTCATCATATTACAGCATATATTAGTACTTTGTTCCTTTTTATTGTGATACATATTCAGTGTATGGATATACCAAATTTCATTTATCCATTTCTCAGTTGTGAACATTTGAGTTGTTTCCACTTTTTGCCTATTTTGAAAATGCTAATGCTGCAAGTATTTGCCAGCAGCTTATTTATTCATATCTTATTTATTCATATCTATCAATCTTTTTGTATGTAAGGAATAAAAACTATAGTAAAGCCCATTCCCAGGGGTGTCTTCTGCCTCTTATGTTTAATAAATCTTCTCATGATAACTGTGTGGCTTACAAAAATAATGGTGAGTCAAGTATAGTAATGGAAGAAGAAATCAAAGGCTTCTGTGCCTTGTAAATTCTTTTTGTGTGTGATTACTTGTCAGCCTTCACAAGTTTAATAGGGCCTTGGTATCATGTCTTAGGAAACCTGCCTAGGATAGTAGCTCCACAAACATACGTTCTGAGTCCAGTTGAAAATAAAAATAGTGAGAATAACATTTTAATTTCTACTCCCAGAGGTGTTTCTCTTTTAGTTCCCAGTAAAGAATACCAATCTGGGAATGAGGAGATGTGGGTTCAACTTCTGACTTTCTTATTTGCTCAGTTGATCTCTGTGGTTGTGGCAAGTTATCTTCTCTACACAGTGAAAAGGTGGGAACAGATAGCACTAGTGAGAGAATCATATTTATGTCATCTCTGCAGTCTTTAATAACCAGAACTTATTTTTAAGTCTTTATTATGTCTGTAACCTCTTACTATCCTTGATGGTGCGTAGACCACTGAGGAACTGGGATGATGTAAGGGAGAGTTAACAAGTATTTTTGTTTTTAATCTATTGTTAAATAATTGGATGGCATGTCTATTTTAATAAATGTTTTTCTCCCCATTAGTCATGGTGGCCAGTGTTTGGGAATGTGTATATTTTTATTGTAAACTATATATTTGATATTTACATATTTTTAGCAATTATACAATTAATGGAATTTATAGTTTAGACATATCACTGTGAAGACAACCATTTGGAGTATCTATGTTTTTTTATGTTGCCATTTACATTTGAGATATATTATTTATAAAACATTCTCTGAATATCTACTAAGCTAAAAACAGTATATAGTTTACTCAGTTTCTCCCATTCTAAAGTGCCTGGTGTATTTTCTAAGTCTCAATTAGAAAACTTGCCATTTTTATTAAATGCTTATTAAAAGACAAAAAATGAATGTTTTAAAAATAGGAATCCTCATATTACCCATCATTTCATTTCAGAGGTGACTTAACTTAGACACCAAGGTTAGCATTCTTAGTCATATGTCAATTTTATAAATAGAGTTCTAATTCTTGCTCAGAGTAGATAACAACTTCATTTTATGCCTTGATTTAAGTGCAATTCTCAGTTTCCAAAATGAGCAAAGAGAAATTATAACCTACTATCATAATTAATTTGGACAATAAAGCCTAATTAACCCCTGTGTTTTAGTTAATTTATAAGGATGGCCTAGGAGACAACTGTCTTGAGTGGCATTATTTGTTTTAAGATTTTATTTATTTATTTGACAGGGAGAGAGCACAAGCAGGGGGAGCAGCAGAGGGAGAGGGAGAAGCAGGCCTCCCGCTGAGCAGGGAGCCCGATGTGGGTCTCAATCCCAGGACCCTGGGATCATGACCTGAGCTGAAGGCAGACGCTTAACGACTGAGCCACCCAGACTCCCCTTGAGTGGCATTGTTGAATATCTTTCCAGAGAACTCAGCTGCAACAGGCTGAAAGGCTCCAGTATTCCTTAGATAAGGAAGGCACAGATGTAATATGCCTTACAGTTTGTGTAATATTATACATTTGCCAACTATTTATACAGATATTACTCATTTGATTTTCGCAGCTAACCTATGATATTTGCTGAAATTTGCTTTCTGGGTTTTGTTTTATTAGATTCACATATAAATATTTCTTTTCTCTTTTGGGGGAGCAGTGCAAGTGGTGTTGCATTTTTTATTTTGATTTCTGTACATTCATTAGTGCTATATAGAAATACAGTAGATTGTTATATGTTAATCTTTTATCCTGTGACTTTACTGGACTTAGTATTTCTAGAAGTTGTTTTGTGTGTGTGTGTGTGTGTGTGTGTGTGTGTGTGTCTGTGGATTCCTTGGGATTTTTGATGTAACAATCATGAAGACAGTTTCTTTCTAATCTATATGCCTTTTATTTTCTTATTGCACTAGCTAGAACTTCCAGCACTATGAATAAGAGTGGTAAGAGTATATGTTTTTCCTTTGTTCCTATCTTAGAGGGTAAGCAGTCTTTCACCAGTAAGTATAATGTTATATGTGTATTTTTTTAAATGTTCTTTAACAAGTTCAGGTTCCTCCATTCCTGTTTTTCTCAGGATTTTTATCATGAATATGTGTTAAATTTGGTTGATGATTTTTTGCGTCAGTAGATGTAATCATGTGACTTTCCTTTAGCCTGTTGTTGTGGTGAATGACACTGATTGATTTTCAAATTTTGAACCAACTTTGCATCCTGGAATAAACCCCACCTGATCGTGGTATATGAGATATATATATATATCACTGAGTTCTTGTTTGCTAATTTGTTAAGGAGTTTTACATCTACATTCATGAGAGAGATTGGTCTGTGGTTTTCTTTTTCGATACTATATTTCTGGTTTTGTTTTTTCTGGCTTTATATGTCTTTCTCTGACACCACTCAGGCATTTGGTGGATGAGGCTTGGGGCATTTTATTACTGCTAGGTGGAAATAGAAGCCTGGGTTTTCAACTCAGTCTTTGTTGGCACCTAAGGGAGAGGGGCCAGGTGGGTGGAGGTAGGAGTTCTGGCTCCCCACTTGGTCTCCACTCACACTGTGGTGGAGGTGGTCTTGTTACCACTGAGCAGTTATCAAAGTCCTGACTCTGTACTGGACCTCCTCTGACACCAACCCATAAGGAGAGGAAAGAACATCTGATTACTGTCTTCTCTGACACCTTCCTGGAGAAAATATTGGGGCACCTTGTTAAACCTCACAAGAATAGAAGTCCAGACACCCCACCAGCCCTTGCTGATGTGGGTGAGAGTAAGGCTACAGTTTTTCTGTGGTGTTTGGCTGGAGTAGAAGAGTTATCATCTAAAAGTTCTCTTTCCTAGTTCTTTGGCGAGAGAGAGCAGGCTTTTTTTCCTCTGTCACACCTGATGGCTTTTCCAGGTTGCCAATTTCTTCAGCTCCAATTTGGGATATATGTAGCAAGAAGAAAACCCTAGCAACTCATTACCGTGTCATCCCTTAGGTCTCAAGGTCCCTAGGCAGTCTTCCTTTTTCCTCTCCACATAGAGTTTTCTTATGTCTGTTTTATGTATCATGCCCAGGGTTTTAAATTATACTTTATACTCATGCCCAGGGAGAAATAGGGAAAAACACATCTATCCCATTTTCCCAGTGGCAGTCTGAAATTCACATTTTTAAAAAATTTCGG